ACTTGTTATCATAAAGTACAAATTCACAATAATTTTTAGTTTCACTTTTTACATCCTTCAATGTTTTCAATGAAAATAAATTTATAATTTGCAATTTGGAGTAGTATGTAGATTTATCATCACGTGATAGCGTTCCTATATTTAAGTCGTCAAGAATATTTCCTATTTTCCCTAATAAAGAATTTAACATATAATTAGATATACCAGAAGTAGCCCATGGATTGAAATGTAATGAATCCAAAGTGTCCATAGCGCTTTTCATCATTGTTGCCATTGGAGCAATTGATTTGATTATTATGTTTATGAGTTCTTCTGTGCAAATTAATCCATCTATTAATCGTTTCTTTGTTCCAATTAATTTTTCACACTGTTCTGTAGCCATGCTTATAACAAAAAAAATATTATCTATAATTTTTGCATATGAGCATCCAAGATATATCGTCAAAGCTCGTGTTTTCATATTACCTTTAGAGACACACGTAGGTGTATCAATAAGAGTTTGAAGATAATATGATGTTTTGTAATATGTTATATAATGTGTTTCGACTAAATTTGTCCATCCTGTATACTTAAGTAAATTATCTAACATATCTAATTTTTTTTTTTTAATCCGGTCTGCTCTTGTATACAAAATCACAGAAAATAGTAAAAAACAAAAGTAGACAAGTTTTAATGAAAACATTGAAAAATAAACAATGATGGCTAAAATTTTTTGATTAAAGTATAATTTTGAAAAGTGTCAAAGGACACGTATGACTTCTGTTCTACATTTATAGAAAATAAAAATAACATATATGCGTAAACATCTGTTGTATTATAATAATATAAGTTCATTTTTATAACTTTTGAGTTAACTAAACATTTCCCATATCATATTGAATAATATTTTACAAAATTCAAATTAGTAGTTTAACAGATCCATACTGATTATTATATTTATTTATTTACAGTAAATGAAATTTTTTTTTTAGAAAAATCGTTATTTGTTATTTGTAATTCGATAATTGTTCAATTTTTTTTTACTTAATACTGCCATTACTTTTTTAAAAATGACCGAATCAATATAATATTTTTTTATAGATACCTTAGATATTTACCTATCTTTTGATATATTTTTGTGAACANTTAGATATTTACCTATCATTTGATATATTTTTGTGAACATTGGACCCCTAACCAGCCTAATAATATTATATCGGGATAAAATTAAGGGAATAAAAGTTATTGTTACTTTTGAAATAATCTACCAATTTCTTAAAATTAAAGGCTATCTACAGATTTGCATCGAAGCGTTTCTTATGATAGAGATTTTAATCACTGTCAGATATCATTTATACTTGTCCCAACTATACTACTTCTATACTGTGACGCGATCCCACTGTGCTATCGTTTTTTTAATTTTATATAGACTTAGAACATTTTTTAACTTTAAACAATTAAAAATTTAAAAACGAATTTTTTAATTGATATTTTTATTTTCTCATCATGGAAATAAATGTTAATTAACATTTTAAGCATCAAACATTATATATATATATATATATTTGATAGAAAAAAATTATAGTGAAATTTTCTACTGGTAGCTTCTTTATATTTCAATCGCCAATTGAGTTAGTCATTTTTTGTTTGCGATGGAGATATTATTCTTCGTCTGACATATTCGATATAATATACGTAACACATTACAGTACAATATATTATATTTATTACCGGTATTATCATAGATAAAGTTTTTCAACCAAAGAAAAAATTTCTAATCCAAAGATGACCACCCAAAATGATCGTTTGTCATACCCGATGTCATTCGATAATATAAGTTGATAAGATACACTTATGACTTTGCTCCATTGACTTGATATTTGTTAACTGATATATATTTGACAATATGATGTAAAATAAACGCTAAACATTAGTATCACTTTTACGTGTGTACTCGTAGTGAGTAGTCGTACAGTATAACAGCGACCAGCCTTATCTATATCATTAAGCTTATCGCCAACTGTGCCGATTGAAAAAATTCAGGTAATATGATTATTTTTATCTAAATTACCTACCCACCGTTATACACTTCATCAAACTAACAACAAAAACCTGTCCGACCACTGAACCATGAGTTCGGCCAGCGGATCATCATTACCTTCACGTTCACAATCGATTAATTCTTCTAACATTAATAACTCCAACAAAACACCGATCAAGATTATTAAAAACTCATCTAACGTCGACTCTGTATGGAAAACTGTTCCTATTAGCTCGCCATGCCATTCTCCAAAATCAAAAATACAAAAAACAAATTCCTTCTCAAGTCCAAACCGTTACTCAGCTCTTACCATAAATGACCACCCAGAGGAAAATGATAATGATATTGAAATGAAAACACAAGATAACCCAAAAGAAGTAAACAAAATTCAACCCATTTACATAAAAAGCACAATTGACTTCTTTGATTTTTGTAAAAAA